GGTACATGAGCACAAAGTAGCATGGACAGGGTATATGATGTAGCACGGGTTTTAACAGCAAAATATTGAAAACAGCATAAATATTCATCAAAGGGAGAATGGTTTAAAAAAAACCAAAAGCCTCTGACAGTGTGTGAGCCACTATGCAGCTCAAAAGGGGAGGAAGTCACTGTCAAGAGTTCGAATTTTTAAGTGCAAAGGGCAAGTGGTAAAGTAATATTCAAACGCGAACTCATTTGTGTTTAGAACAAAACCCCACACATGTGCTTTATCCTTGCACATAGTAGGGTTTCAGATGGAAAGATGCATAGAGAGATGGTGCAGTGTCTGAGGGATACCTTCCAACCTCAGGGGAGATGATGGGGATTGAGGCAAGAGGCAGAGTCTCCCACTTTCTGCATTTTGGGGCTTTAAAAATAGAATATATTCAAATGCTGCCTCATTCATGTTAAAGAGTAAAAATTTTTCATAGCACAGTTGTTACTAGAGACTATTGTGTCAAGCCCTGGTGCCACAATTTCACCACGCCTTGCACTTTTAAATAGGGCGCTGTCAACCTTTGTGCAGAAAGCATTATACATTCTTTGGATGCTTTCCTTAGTTTCAGCTCCAGAAGTGGAACCAGTGGTCAAAAGGTAGATTTTATTTACTAGGGTTTCTGAAGGCGTTGCCTCAGTTTACATTCTGGCAACCACGGGGAAGTGTCTGGTGTCCTGTTCTCTGCTTTGCTTCCATCATATCTCACGCTTTCCTTCTTTCCCTCTCTTTGCTACTTTGATAACTGTTCCGTCAAATCTCATTTTGTTTTAATTTAGTTTTTTGATCATTAAGAAAGAAAAGTCTTCCCCCACATGTTCAAGTTTTATCTCCCCTTGTGTGAATTTTTTTCTTATCCTTCACCCACATGCGTCCAGCAGTCTGGGTTTTCCTTTCCATTTGTGCGTGCTCTGGACACTAAATATCTGATTGTCATATTTTTTTTGTAAGTTCTTTGTTGTTTGTCTTCACATTTCTTCCTGTTTTCTTCCCAAAGCTTTAGGCTTACCTGTGGCTCTTTCTTTTCCGTTCTTTGCTGATTTTATTTACAAGCTCTAATAACTCTTTCCCCCCTGGACACCATTTATACTTCATCCCTTATCACTTTCCTTCCATTCTTGCTTTCTGTAAAAAAAAAATGTTTTTCCATCAAGGCTTCATTTCAGCCTCCATTATTTTGTTTAGATGTTTATCTAATGTAATACTTTCCTTATAGTACGGGGTGTGTGATTGCTGGGGTGGATTCTCAAAATTCAGTGTTCAGATTTGCCTCTCATTCATTTAGTTACCGAGTACATGTTTTCCTGTGTGTATTTTAGTTAATAACCCTCGGTTAATCCTTTCATGCAAAGAGAAGTATTTGTAAGTTTACATCAGCATCATGATAATATCTCTAATAAGCAATGGTTCTCAAGATACTAAACCAAACCCCTTTAATATACTTACTATACTAATATGAGCATATGAATGGCTCGTCTGCTGGTGCGTTCTGTGGTGATGAGATGGTCGCGGCTCTGTCCAGTGTGGTAGCCACGTGTGGCTCATGAAGCACTTGAAACGTGGCTGGTGCAAATGAGGAAAAAAATTTTCAATTGCATTGAATTTTAATTCAGTTTAAATAGCCCCATGTAGCTAGCGGCTCGCATATTGGACCGCGCAGGCTCAGACCTTTCAAAGGTCACTTTCTACTTTCCTGTTCACTTCTTTTTTTTTTAGGTGAACCCAACGAATTAAGGAGACAGAAATCACACTTGCGAACTTTGCTGCAAATCCATACGACTATGACTGTGTGTTCTCATCTACCTGTCTAATTTTTAAAACCTAATGATTTTGAATTATTTGTTTCTATTTAACGATTCTCGTTTCTGACCTTCATCCGGCTTTCAAGGAGCCTGTTTTCAGGTTTGAAGGTGATAATATATCAGAGGCGCCTCACCCATCCCCTGCACCCCCAGCACTATTTTTATCGACACCATTTTAGTTCCTATGTTTATTTTATTCTCAGGCTATTCCAGTAGGGGACTAACCCCAGCAGCCTATATAAAAAGAGCCTGGAAAGCCGTCACGTATAATGAGACCTCAGCACATGCCGACATAGATGCCCCTGGGATCCCTTAAAAGCTAGTTGTAAATTTCCTTCTGATGTTTTTATTGTTATGCCTGTTAATGTGAAAAAAGAAACGAGAGGCCGAATTTTGTAAGGAGTGTAAACATTCTCAGTGCTCGCCGTGCTTACTGGGGTCGGGAATTTTCCCTACAGGGCTGCAGATGTAGACTGTCCATGGGTGAAGGCGGGCAGGGCAGGGACCATCTTCCATTTCTCTCACTGTGGATGCAGCGGTTCCTGAAGTTGTCTTCTCTCATCTCCATAAAAAGAAAAAGGGGAACTGCTTGTCCTACCATCAGCCCCACTGTCCCCACACCTCCAAGGGCCCCCTCTGTTTACCTTAGTCACAGCCGCTGCTGCGAGGATTCCTTGCTTCCTCTTGCCGCGTGGCAGGTAAAGCTGACTCCCCAGATCCTTGGCTTAAATGGAAATGCCAAGCAAAACCTGGAGCAAAAATACTGTTGTTTCTTGCTGCTTTCCGGAAGCTGAGAGGAGGAAAGGGGAGAGAGACGAAGAGGAACAGAAAAGGAAAGAGGACAGAAGGGACGAGAAGGTGAGTAGCAGGACAACATAAGGAGACTCTTGGGCCTTTGGTAATTTACTACGTTATCTATAATAATCCGGGTATCAAAGGTTTTCTTCTATTTAGCCCAAGTGCATTCTGCCTCAAGGGTTCTTCAGCTTTTATACATTGACACTGAAATACGTGATATTTTATCTCCTGAAATCATCCCAGAAAAAGGCCCATGGCTTATATTTGGGCCTTACAGCATTTCTTATTTTACAAGGGTGCTCACTCTAACACTTGGTTTTGAACCTCAGAGGAGGCAAAGAAATGTACACTGATTCCCATGGGTCGTGGGTGGGGGTGGGGGCTGAGATGTCTGAAAGATTTAAAGGTGCGAGCTGTGGGCTGAATGTTTGCGTCTCCCCCCGACGTTAATATGGTGAAACCCAGCCCACAGGTGGTGGCATTAGGAAGTGGGCCCTTTGGGAGGCGATTAGGTCATGAGGCAAAGTCCTGATGAATGGACAAGAGACAGAGAGAGAGCTCCCTCGCTCCTTCACCCCCTCGGCCCTGTGAGGACACAGTGAGAAGATGGCTGTCTGTGGGCACATGTGTCCCTAAGAGACACTCAGTGTGCTGGAGCCATGATGCAAGGCTTCCCAGCCTCTAGAATGTGAGAAACAAATGTTGGTTGTTTATGAGCCACCCAGTCTATATGGTGCTTTGTTACAGAAGCACGAACAGACTAAGACTGTGTATTTGTGCGTGTGAGTGTGTATGTGTGTGAGTGTGTGTCTGTGTGTGTTAACGTCCACTTAGATGGGTCAGCCTGGTGCAGTTTTGGTCCCATAAGAGCCTTCCACGCTTCTTCGCCACGTCACCCCCTGACTTTTTCTCGCATGCATTAGAGTGGAGTGATAATTCTGAGCCACGGTTTCATTCTGCTGGCTCCCTGAGAGTCTCCCGTTGCTCACTCCCCAGAGTCAAATCATTGAACTTTCTCTGAGAAATAATACCCCGAGGCAGAACTCTTAGCAGGTCTTTGAACTCAGCAGAGAAAAGTTTTGTGGGAACATGGTGGGGAGGTGGGATCAGGGAAGGTCTGGGGCACAAAGAGTGGCAGGCAAGGGACCCTTGTGACAGGCTGTTCTACGTCGTGACTGCGACGGTGATCCCACACATCTGCGCGTGTGACAGAATTGCATAAACTAAAGGTACACATGGGGCTGCATGTAAAACTGGTGAAGTCTGAATGAGGCGGATTATTGTATCAATGCTTGTGACGCTGTGCTCTTGGACCGGAGGTTACCGTTGGGGGAAACGGGGTGAAGGGCACACAGGGTCTCTCTGTGTTCCTTCTTGCAACAGCATGCAAATCTACAACGATCTCAACAATTTTAACCAGAAGCGCGACAGAGAAGACAGGCCTGGTTGATGTCAGAATGCAGGGTCCTGGGCAGCTGGGACATCCAAGGGACATGAGGAGCCTACAGAGAAGGGGAGTACCCAGCTCTCAAGGGAAGAGAGGCACAGATAGGAAGACGGGGTGTGTCTTCTCCTTGTGTTCTTATGTTATGCTGCAAAAAAAAAAAAACAAAACAAAAAAACAAAGTCCATCACCAGGACATAATTTCTGTAATGAGCAGGCATAAGATGCATTATCAGGTAATAACAATAGCTGGCACTTACTGAGTGCTGCCAGGTGCCAGTTTCTCTAC